TTAAGTGAACCTTGAAATCAAAATCCAGTGTTTTTCATGAATGATGCTTTTTGCAAGGGATGGAAGCCCATTTGGGGGTAGAGAGGTTGTGCAATCGAATTTCAAAAGCACTGCACGCGTGCAAAGGCCAGATAACAAAGGAGCAGTGGAGGCACCGACCACAAGACGTGGAGGTTCCGATCAAAAAACGCAGAGAGGGTCCGATCTCAAAGTACCATCAAACAGCAAGGCGGCGACAGCCTGCATTACGACCTATTACAATCCACTCCTCTCATCATGCTTGGAATGCGCAGCTTCAGGGACATGTGCTGACCCCACCTAGGGCAGCATCAAGTTAGCTACAGAGGCCTTTTTACTATGCTACTCCGCCTATGTTTCAGAATTCTTTAGACATAGTATATGCGCAACATCACACAACCACAGAGAATTTAAGAGTGCTTTGAGTTTTTGTTCAGGCCCTCCAAAGTACAGAAGTGCCCTGGTATCTCAGCTGGCTTACTTTACAATCACACTTTTTCTCGTTTTGAAATTGGCCCCCAGAAGTGCCGGCACAAACTGGCATGAATCCAGCCCTCGCTACGGCCGAACATGTGCACGAGTATAGTACCGCGTACGTAGATAGAATATGGGGTATATGGGGATCTTATTATAATACAGCCAAAGCCATATTCTATCGACTAATCGTGTTCGTGACAAGAGTATCCGCTACGATGACATGTGCTGCAGGTGGATCGAAGCCAGAGCCATGACCCAGGCCACCTGAGTGGAGGGCAAAGAGGGAAAGGTCCAGTTTGGAGATGAAGTTGCCGACAAGCTGCGCATTTTTTGTGGGTACCTGAAAGTTTGTTGGTTATAAGTTATAAGGGGCCACAGTGCACGAGGGACCCCAAAGCCCAAACCCTCAACCCTAAACCCCTAAAGGGATCATCATTTGGAAAGCCTAACAGATGCTGTCTGCAGGTGATGAGGATGATGCAGAGCCGGAGAAGGCTCGGGCCAGTGAAGTATGTTTAGGGTTCAGGGTAGGGTTTTGAGACCTTTGGAACAGCTGGTAACTAATCGTCTCGCGCTAATATTAAGCCCCCCCCAATATTGAATACTCCCCGTTGTGGTATAGTATAGTTCAGGGGTGGATCCTTATACTACTCCCTTTCTAACCCGTTATAGTCGTTTCCCATCGTGGTATATTATAGTATATTGGAAGTATTTCATGCTAGGAGGGATGATGATCGTAGATTACGCCTCGAAGCCTTGGAAATGACCCAAACCCTAAACCCTAAACCCTAAGCTGAAAAGGTGCGTGGGGTTGTCAAAAAAGACCTAAGCTGACGGGTTTGTGGTGAGGCAAAGGATGACAAAGACAAAGGCCACTTGGCTGCGCTTGCTGGGCTGATATGGGGGTTTCCCAAGATAAGGGGCACTTTTAAAGGGGTGTATAGGGGTTGATAGGGGATTATAGGCCTATATAGGGATATATATATATATATATACAGGGATTTAGGGTTTAGGGTTTCCCAAAATTAGGGGTACCCTTTTTTGCAGTCCCCATAATAAGGATTATAGTATTGTGGGTCTATATTGGGGGTCCCCGTTTTTTGGGGAAACTACCATATCACTGGGGCACACCATGAGCTGCATGCTTTGCCGCACATGTCTCCCCGCGTGGACTTCTGATGCCAAGGAAAGAGCAAAGACAAAACCAAAGAAAAGGGAAAGGATAAAGAGAGGCTTGCAGAATCAAGCCGTGTCCCGCAGTGGATGCAGATGTGCTCCAGGGTCTTCATCAGCTGAAGATATCTGGAACACTGGCATTTATCTTCTGAGTTTAGATCCTGGCCTGGCTTCCAGGGGGAAAGGGAAGAAGAAGAAGGACAAAACAAGCTACAGCTATGACGAGGCCTATCTTCCTCAACGATGCACCCTCTTCAAACGTATTGATGCCCCGACGTTCCGTTGCAAGATGGTGTCTTCGGATTTGGTGCGCTGTGAACTGTCTCCCGAGCCTGTTTGAAGCCTGCGCGCTTACTGCATAGGATTCTGGAAGCTCTGATGCCTCGGCTGCGCGGCGGAAGAAGCGACGCGCGAACGCCGGGCTGAAGGCAGCCTCAGGCTCCTTGTCTTTGAAGTTCCGATGACTCAAGAAGCCATGCACACTCGTATCGCTCGTGCGGAGACCCCTTTCCAACTGTCCTCAGAAGTCCATATGGAGTGCTGCCCGAGTTGCGCTGCCCGAGTCGTGCTGTTAGTGCGTCACTTTTTTCTCCCAGCCTTCTGCTAGCAACAATGCGTGTGCTTCAGGCTTCGGCTTAGCCCCTCCGCCAGCGGCCGAGGCATGAAGAGTTGAGAACAG